CATGCCACCATTTTGGGCATAAACTTTATATATTATTTTTGTAATTGTTGCTGTTTTGTATGTGCAGACCTCGGTTTTGATAAAAGATCATGACACGCTGAGATAAACTTTGGATTATTGATATATTTTCTGACTACTGTACACAGCTCCACCAACGGTTCTTATGTTAACGTTATTGTAACCGAATAAAACAAAAACTTGACTGTGTTTTGTCTCTATGGCGACCCTTTTGTGCATCAAAAAAATAGACCAAGCTTGAAAGAGTTAGTAGAAAATTAGTCATTACAAATGCCTACAATTAAGCACAACTATGCGATTCAGAGTTAGTGGTTAAGTTTTGCACTCTTTTAACAATATTTCCTTTCTATTTGGTCTCTCAGTGACGGGCCAGATAAACAGTGAGTCACACTCTCCACTGCCAAGTCCTCATACCACCATTTTCCGAGGCTCTCCCCCCCCTCGTATTCCCTCCATCTGAAGCCTTTTTCTCTCTTTAAAACACACATATGTTTAAATACACCATCCCTGTTGAATACCACATTCACTCCCTCAGTAGCCTCCCTGTGAATGTCTTCAGATTTAGTGCACTATGCGGTATAAGCACAAATATGTGTTTCACATGAGGCTTTCAAGGTTCGAAGAAGAAGAAGAAGAAGAAGAAGAAGGGGTGGACTCCCTGCCTCCCTGTTCTACTCCTCCATGGAAAGAAACACAAATGAGAACCAGAGGCAGCCCTTTCCTCGCTGCTCTCTGGCTCACAGTGACTCACATGTGAAGAATGTGGTGGGTTGGCCAAAGAGTTATTAATATCTCCTTTCCTAGGGTCCGCTAAGTTTCCTCAGGCTCATACACAGGATCTAGACACTGTACCTTTATGAAAGACTTTAACAACATCCCCCTATTAGGAGAATTCCTCAGCTAGACCTGCGGCGCACCACACCCTCTCCTGTGTGTTTGGGGGTGTGAGAGAGGCAGAGGGAGGCGATGGGTGGAAATAAGTCAAGTGAGGTGACACAATTCAACAGAGATGTTCTTATCGACGTAGATTTTTGACTAGATAAGAACTTGGGATTACTTCTTGTGTATTTTCAAGAGTCAGAAAATCCTCATAGCAGTTCAAACAATGTCTGCCTGTTAGAAAATGTGCTTGTGCATAAACCATATCGAACTTGTTTACTCAAATGAAGCTGCCACAGCAACGGGGTGAGGCTTGCAGCTGCAGCTCAGAGCCCCCACCAACATCAGGAGTCCCCAACAATGGAGCTTGCTCAACGAAACCGGGGTCTCCTCTATACGTCACTCAGTGTTTACGTGGGGAATTCCTCACTAGCAAACCGGCCTGTTCAAAAAACAAGGTCACCAGCTCTGGAGAGGGCTGACACCTGGTGGATTCCTGACAGCCGTACACTGGAACTGTGCACAGCAGTGAACAACTGTAGAGGGCAGACTGAAGTACATTAAAGCACTGGTTCACAGCCCCCTTTTTTATCAATGAGTCACTGACCGCTGACTTGATGTTACATATTTTTAGGAGAAGCTACAACGTTTCATATTGTATTCAAGGCATAACTTAATAGTGGAGAAAAAATGATAATCTGTGTAGTTAAGCCAAATTGTGCCAATAATATCTGCATGTAAAAGAAACCATGTGGAGGATTTTTTATCAGATTATTTCATGATTTTCCTTGAATTAATACAAAATGTTCTGTTTTTTTTTATATTTAGTTTAAGTTGTCAGACATACTTATTCGTATGCTTCTTACTGGCTGTTGTGTTATTCCCTCTCTTATGTGGTATATGATTATTTTCACAATGCCAGACAGAGATGTTTATCAGAGAGGGAATATAGATAACGTTCAGGTCTGAACCATCTTACATAATGGACAAAACTTTTAAAATAATATTTACATTGGTTTTGGTTGTCTTACAGTTTTTCCAACAGTAAAATCAAGAAAGCCTCACAACCCCCATAAGGCCTTGACTACCCCCAGATTGGCACTAAATTAGATTTACTTTCACATTTCCCCCCCAAGTTTGCATTATGAATCACTGTTAACTGTTCCTCTTGTCCATGCAGCCTGTAAAGAGATCAATGCTGTGGATACAAATCCAAAGTCCTTCTTTCAACTTAAAGATTTGGTTTGAACTGAAATTTAGGAATTAATTTATAATACCCACAACTGGACTAAGAGTTGCATTTAAAAAAGGGATTTATGTCTGAGGATTCATTACAGCAACCAATTACTTCCAATTTACAGAGTGATTATTGTAGAGGAATAGACCTAAAATGTGAACCTATATTTTACCCATCTTTTTAGAATCATGTCTTTAACTTGTACAATTTCAATTAACTTCAATCAAATGACTAAAGACGATCACAACTTTTATTTTTTATTATTAATCCAAAAAGGAATCAAAATATGCTCAATAGTTCAAAAAATATTTCCCATTTTTCTTGTCTGAATGACATTTTCTGCTCTAAACAACCGACTTGAACCTTAACATTATGAAACATTGACGTTAGAAATATGACTATCTTATTTAAGACATTAAGGCAAACTTATCGCATCCCTAATAAGAGACAAACAACATGTAGTATCAAAGGTAAAGTTATATGAGCGTATATAAAATATATTTCAATTCAAATACCTATTCCACACATGGCACATTCACTCATGACAAAAGCAGCTTCTAATGTCACAAAAAAGCCAATTTCATTTTTAGTAGATGAACATTTGACTTATTTTCCCCATTCGTTAGCAATACATATTTTTCTGTAGCACTTAGAAACTAAAATGGCTTTTGATGTCTTTCATTTGTTTCATCATGTCACCGATTTGCTGTCCCTGTTCTCTGAGGACGTCCTGAACCACCTTCTTCTGCTGGGCGTTGAGCGAGACCGTCGTCCTGTCCGCCGGCACGTCTTTATCCACCTGTCTCTTCTGGTACTCCATCTTCATGTTCACCTGTTTGATGCAGTTGTCCAGGTGCTTCAGTTGATCGCCGATGGTCCTTAGCTCCTTCTTCATTTCCTTCTCGCTGTTTGACAGTATGGGCAGCTGGCTTTGCAGGCTGCCCAGCACTTTCTTAACCCTGTTCATGATGGTCTCCTGTCGATACTTGGCGTCCTCGTACTTGTCCGCCAACCTCTCCGCCGCCTCCCTCAGACTCTTCCTCTCCTCCCTGCACAGAGTCATCTCATCCAGCTGCTTGTTCTTCTGGCTTGTCAGGAGTTTCACCCTCCTCTGCAGCTCTTCGCGGGCCATGTCCTGCTTGAGAATGTACTCCTCGCGGAAGACCTGCGTGGCCCTACTGAGAAGCTGCAGGCACTCTGGAGGCGGCGGTGATGTCTCCTTGTCCCCGGCCTTCAGAACGAGAGGATTGGTGGAGCTACGTGCCAGGATGTTGCGGATGTGCTGCTCGAAGGAGTCGTTGGCCAGCCCGCGCAGAGGGGAGCTCCCAGAGCCTGGGCCTGGGTGTGAGCAGAGCAGGGGGGGGGAGGGGGGGCGAATGGAGCTCAACAGGGGCAACAGGATGCACTCGTAGGTGCTGGTGATGCAGATCATGGTGGCGCCCAAGGAGAGATCGGACACAATTAAAAAGCCGAGAACTGGAGATGACTGACTGGTCTGGAGGGGTCTGGTACAAAGAATGTGCTCCACAATACAGCGCTTCTCAGCAGCCAGCTCCTGCAGACTGTCCTTATCCTCCTCGCCTGAACGAAGGAAGTTCTGCAGCTTGTTGACCCAGATTAGCCCCACACTGTGCACTCCTGCTTCATGGGTGCAGTGGTACCTGTGCTGGCATAGGGGGTCTCTGTGCAGTCTGATAGGACAGGTGAAATCCAACTCCTGTGGCTCCTCATCTTCTGCTGTGGCTACTTTGAGGGTGAGCTCCAACTCAACACACTCAAACACGTAGAGAGCCGGGACAGCACCCGGGCCTCGGATCCACTTCTCCACCGCCCCCGCCTCCTCCTCTTCTTCAGACTCCAGCACCACACAGTGGTACAGCGTGCCCGTTTCTGTGGCAATAACCAGGATGCTGGGCACACATGGCAGGCAGAGGATGGCACAAGCATCATAGCCATAGTTATCTTCTGCTGCGGGGTACATGGGGAGGGGTCCAGCAGGTTTAGTTAGACTCAAACCGTTTACCTGGCTCGTGTAGCTCACATAGGTCTCCCCATTTTCATAGAGAATGTAGAGAGGGTAGACCAGCTGGTCTTTTGAGCCATGTGAATGCCGAAGGGGAGATGAAATCGGCCCGAAGTCAAACGCCACCGCTATCTCGCCGAGAGACGCTGCGTAGGAGCGGACGGGACGGTGGCTGGCGCTGTCATCTTCAGACTGCGACACTGACAGGACTTTGGTTGGAGTCTGGGGCGACTTCAAGCCGTAAAACCGGATGGCGTTGTCGGATGTGAGCAGCACCAGGTGGGGCTCTTCGGCCTCGCTAGGGTACCACGCCGCCTGCCGCAGACTCACCGACGCGGAGCTGGTGAAGAAGCGCTCCGCCACCGGGATGGTTTTGCAGTTCACTTCGCTCCGCCCCCCCTCAAACTCGGACTTCTTGCCCCACCGCTGAGGGAGCTCCAGCACCGAGACCCCTCGCTGCCCAATGAGCGCCACGTGGTGCTGGGTAGGACTGACTAGCACCTGGCACAGGTCAAAGAGAGGAGGGTTGATGCACAGCAGGGACTGGTGGTTCCCGCTGCCGCGTCCCTCATCCGTGTTCAGCTGTCGCAAGTTGGTGGTGTAAAACACGCGGTCTATGTCGTCCCACACGAACAAGTCCCCACCCAAACAAAATGTCAGGTTTTTAGCTATCCCTCTTTCATTTGAGAAAGGATCTGAATCCAACTTCCCCCTTATTTTTTGGAAAATAGCATGGTTTGGTAGCTCACTCAACCACCGCTCAGTGCCGAAAGCCGCCATCTTGATCTGCCGTCTGTAACGGAAAAAAAGTCCATGGCAACAAGAGTCATTCACGACAGTCATTTAACGTATTACGGCGGCCGGTGTCGTACATTTTGCAGAATCACCATGGCGCTGAAAGAGACTGCTGGGCTATATGATCATCTAAAAGCAGAGTGGAATAAGAAGAACCCCAGCCTGAGTAAATGTGGAGATCTTCTGACCAAACTCAAGGTAAAGTCGTTTGTCTGTTTCTATGAGTCAAATGAGGAACACAGCTTATTTTGAAGCGTCGGCGTTGTGAGCATATGTAGCTAAGTTTGCTAACCTGGGCTAGCTAGGCTGACGTTGTTTTTGAGTTTTCTATTATGTCAGCTTTAGACACACATAGTTATATTGTCGGTGTGGTGAAAACACTGCGTTTCTATTTCGTAACTATATGTTAGTGTTTGGCTGATAAGGCAATAAAATATTGTTCTGTTTCGAGAGTCAGGAAACAGTGTGTGTTGGCTGATTCATTGTCAAAGTAGTTCCATCCAAAATAAACATTCGAACAAAAATACTTTTAGGACGAATATACGCTTTGTTTATTTTATCGGTTACTTTTTCTTGTTAAAAGTTACGTTGCAACTCCTCGGTTGAAATTGTATTAATTTAGATTTGTAAGTTAGCTGGAGGGAAAACACATATAGAATTTATTGATATTTTTGGTTAAAAGCTATTTATTTTAAGTGTATTAAAAGTAAAGGTCCTGCTTTAAACTCTTACGTAAAGGTACACAACTATAAGCGTCAAAAAATACCTTGTGTGTCAAAAGTAAAATGAATGAAGAATGGCTTATTTCAGAATCATATGGATTATTTTCCTCGATTATAATTGATGCTGTTTATGTTGGGGCTAATTCTAACAATTTATACATACTGCTGGATAGCCTATTGTCTAATATTATATCTTAATAATTATATTTAGTTGCCAATAATGAAAGGTTAATGACATGATCCGAAACTATTATAAACAATTTGATTAAGACCGAGTCCATGATATGTTTGACCTTGAGTACAAAATGACACCAAACTTCTTTTTTTACAGGTTTCATTACTGGAGCTGAACTTCTTACCTACCACTGGGTCTGCGCTCACCAAGCAGCAGCTCATTTTAGCTCGTGAGTATTGATGGCAAACAAGCGGACAGACAACATTTGATATTACTCAAGAATTACTTTTTGTCATAGTACTAAATCAGTTCATAAGGTGATCTACCTAATAACAGAGGGATATTTGTGTGTGTCTTTTAGGTGATGTCCTTGAAATCGGAGCCTTGTGGAGCATCCTCAAGAAGGACATCCCATCCTTCGAGAGATACATGGCCCAGCTCAAGTGTTACTACTTTGATTACAAGTAATGTAACTTTTCCTTTTTTTAATTGGTATGTTGCTACATTGTACAAATGGTGTTTTTTTCTAAATGTTCTCTACTTCTACTTTTTTCATTAAGGGAGGAACTGCCCGAGGCTGCCTACATGCACCAGTTACTGGGACTGAACCTGCTCTTCCTGCTCTCACAGAACCGTGTGTCTGAGTTTCACACAGAACTTGAGAGACTGAGCGCTCGAGACATTCAGACCAACGTATACATCAGACACCCGGTGTCCCTAGAGCAGGTGCTGCAATTGACTCCTAGGACATCGCTTTGCTGTTCTGCCCTGACTCGGTGTTCAGGCTGAAATGTTATAATTTCTGCTACAATCAGTAATCTTGTACCCTCAAATCAATATTTTTTACATTATTGTTTGTGGGTTGTCCATTCAATTAGGAAGGAACACACGTAGGTTAATTGACAGGATAACAGCTGTGTTTTGGTTCAGTTGTACCCTCAAATTACTGAGTTTATTCACTCCTTTAGTCATGGTCTCCTCAACACTGTCAGTCTGTTATAGTAGTAAATACAACATTGTCATATTACATTAGACCAAAAATTACGCTATGTTTACTTTTGGCTGGCTAGGTTTGACTGTTACCTGCAGACATGCTTACTTCGTGCTTTTCAAAAATGATTGGCCAAAACTTATCGTAGACATAGATTTCTTACAGTTTAATTTTGGCCTGAGGCACATTGATTTGATATCTGTGATTGTTGCACTCACACATTATGAACTCAAACTAATCACATATAATATGAAGCTTGTCTCAATAATAACCTGCATGTTAACCCCTCTGTTTTGATTGTTATCCTCCTCTGACCTTCTCAGTACTTGATGGAAGGAAGCTACAACAAGGTCTTTCTAGCCAAAGGCAATATCCCTGCAGAGAGCTACACTTTTTTTATAGACATTCTGCTCGACACAATTCGGTAAGCATCAATATGGTAATCCAGCCTGTCATACTTTCTACACCTTTTCAATGATGTAGTCCTAAACACTTGATTTGGGACCATATCTGTTGGTTTTGCTGTAAAGTGAAGTTGTATCTTTCGGTTCAGGACCTAATGATGTATTGGTTTAGAAATGTTACCATGGCTGTGAAAAAAGTGGCATACGTTATCATTTAAAACATTTAGCATAGTAAGGGTCAGCAAAAGCATCTACATTTGTGATATATTAAGCTGTAGGTGAATACACCAACATCAAAGATCTATCATTTATGCTATCTTACTAGGTTACTCAACACAAAACATATTTCAATTGTGTGACAATTGAAATGCATGACAATGCCTTTTTAAATGTGTGTTCAACTAAAACGCTGATCTATTTTTTTATTCCAGTGATGAGATCGCAGGTTGCATAGAGAAAGCATACGAGCAGATCCAGTTCAACGAAGCCACGCGTGTGCTTTTCTTCAGCTCCCCGAAAAAGATGACAGACTATGCCAAGAAGGTGTGTAACATTTCATTTGGGAATTAACTTAAACCATATGTCGGATTTAAGGTTGTATACAAAAAGAACAAGATGACTTAATAAAGAGGCTAATCATGGGCTGGCACCTTAAACACACCAAGACACATATCATGTAAAAAGTAGATTTCTTGGTCATTTAATTCCTCAAATTGAAACACAATTCCCTCCTAGATTCTTGCTTCCAATGAATGAAATTACCAAACAGCCCAAACTGATTGTTCCTTGTCTTTTCAGAGGGGATGGAGTTTGAGCGCAGACGGCTACTACTCGTTCAGCAGCCAGCAGCAGCGGACAGAGGAGGTGACCATCCCCTCCACAGAGCTGGCACAACAAGTCATCGAATACGCACGACAGCTGGAAATGATTGTGTAATCCGCCCCCAGAAACACACTCAGAAACACAAGCCACTGATCCAGTACACCCAGTCAAATGCTCAAACGCAGTTTCCCTGAGGGATAAGACTTCATGGGGGGTTGATTTGTTGCCCATACTCCTTAAAACATTATTGTTGTTGTATTTGAGTTATCAGCAGCTCATCCTGTCTTGAGGTTCTATTTTAAATATGGGATCACAGGTGTATTGCTACAGATCTTCCGTTACATTAAAACAGAGCTTTTATTGGGTTATTTCAAACTGGTCACTTCTGGGACTCTATTACAGAACAAAAAATGTTCCCATAAATTTAAGCCAACTTTTTTTTGGTATACAAAGTTTTTCCTTAGTAGAGCTCAAGGATATGTGTTGCCCTTGCCTTGTATCCTAGCAACTAACAGAATCACCATTGCAGTTTGAGTGTTTTCTAAATGGTAAAGCCCGTTCCTCCCTACATGGTTTGTAATCCAGTTGATATTACAATGCAAATCTTTCTCTGCAATAAACGATTCCGAAAATAAACTTTCTGAAATACTGCGTGTTTTATTTATATTTTTTACACTTCAAGTCTTCCTTATTAAAATGCTGGTTAAAGTGACATATTTTGAATGTCAGGAATCTTCCTCCTACTCTGTTTGTCTCAGTGCTATGCAAGTTGCGAGTCTCACTGTGGTGATTCCAGGTGGTTTGGGCATTCATAATACCTGTGGAAGTATAGTTTGAGGTTATTTTCTGTTCTTGAAATTGTGATTAATATCAAAAAGGAAGTTAATGAGATTTCAAATTGACGCTGACAAACTAGCTTAAATTGTAGCTCACCACTTCTGGACATTTGATGGCAAACCGATCCCCTTGTTAAGATGACGGCGCACCTTGTGGGAGCAGGACTGATTCACTGTAAACAGGGGCCATCGACCTCCAGTACGAGCTGACCCAGGAGCTGCTTCAGAGGGGATGGCTGCTTTCTGTTCTTCGGTTTGAACCTGATCAATCTCCCCATTCACATCTCCTTTTGTATCCCTGTGCTTTTCTTTCTCAGGGACCTTTCCTGTATGATTACATTTCATGTTTTTTACTGCTTTGCTTCTTGTCTTTTGCTTAACAGCAGGATCTTGAGGTTCCTGCTGGATTCCTGTGCTTGTCTCTGGAGTTGCAGTTGTGGGGTTATGAGTGGCAGCTGTCCCTTCAACTCCTGGGACCTTCAGCGCTTGTGCGTTCGTTTTTTTCTTTTGTATTAAAGTGTTTCTGTTGGGGTTTGGTTTTTTATTGTGTGTCTTGGTTGTGTTTCCTTCCACGGCCTGCTGCTGTGAACTCTCCTGCAGCGGATTGACAGCCGGTCCAGCTACTTTCTGGTTGCATCTAACACCATCTAGCTCTTTTTTCTTAACTAGCTTCCTTCTTAAGCGCATTTTGGCAACAGCGGCACGACTCCTTTCTGAATTCACACCTAAGCGATACTTGAGGTCCTCTTCTTCTTCTGTGACACTTTTGGAGTTTGCTTCTTTTTCCTTTGTGCTGACCTGAGCTTCTGCTTGCTTTTGTCCTGTTGCAGGGCATTGTAACTCGGAGCTTCCTGTGTTCACACGAGAGCCAAATAAACTGGACTTTTGAGCTGCTGATTGGCTGATCTCTGTTTCGGTTTGTGACACTGCTTTTTTGCTTTGTAGGTTGGCTGTAAGTAAACGTCTGACCACCCTCTTGTATATACGCTGCACAGGTTCTGGCTTTTTAGCGTCCGGGACTTGAAGCGGTATATCTGTTGGCTCTTTACTCCCAAAGCTGGTAAGGGGAGATACAAGTTCATATGTTACCAATAGCAGTGCAAATAGTTCTAAAGACGTGGAGGACTACACTGGATATGTCAGGTTCACTTAGCCAATGTCATCATTTTATTGTTTTGTATACAACAGTAGTGTGTAATGTTTATAATATACCATGTATTAATACATAATAACATGAAGTCAACTCACCTCCATTCCATAGGTGGCGCCACTTGGGATGAGGCCGGTGCTGTGTATAGTGGAACCGCTGTGATTTCCTTTGCTGTACACTCATTATGGTGAGTTTCTCCAAACATCACCGGTCTGTTTCCCCGGTGCTGCACAGGTTTTGTCTGTTTCACTTGTGATTCTGAAGGTCTTGACTGCTGCGGGCATAATGTACCGAGGAGACCAAGTCGCAGTGATAGGCCTTTCTTCAAAGCCTCTATCCAATTCAGAGCATTGGTCTTACTATCCTTAGGTTCTGCAAGCGATGTGTGTTGTTGAGTCACTGGGTCAGCTTTGGAAATAAATGCGATATATTTGACTGGGTCAGCAGCCTGTGAAATGTTCTTAGCCTTGTGGGTGCTTTGTTCTCCGTGTGGAAGAGCATAAGCAGGAAATTGTTGCATCCATGAGAGCATTGCTTCAGCTCCACGGCTGGGATCCATCTGATGAAGTTGAGAAGGGACTTGACTGGTGTTGGCAGAGCTGCTGAGGTCTCCAGATAAATCATTCTCCTCTTTGGCAGCTTCTTCTTTTGAGGTCTTCTTTTGTGTGTCCTTATTGTATGGGTGTTTTTCACTTTGTCTCATCTCTTTTGACTTAAAAATACCCATAGGCCTACGGTTCATTTTACCTTGCTGCCAAAAAGAAGAAGTGATTTTATCAGAATACTCAAAAGTCACGTCTGGAGATATTCACTTTTATTGTCCGCAAAGTTTACGAAAACTACAAAACATATTTCAACTGATCTTACTACCAAGTGCGGTCGGTCAAAAGCTTGATATTTGTCTGCCACAGATCTCCATTTTGAAATACATTTTTTTTAAACACATCAGCCGCAGGTAACATGTCATGTATTGCAACATACTACAACCACTGCTGCTTATTTTGGTTAAAGTAGTACTAGTTTTAAACTACAGTGTCCAGCTGTTTAATACAAAAATAATTCCATGTTTCTGTGCTTTTTTTAATAGAAAAACAATACTGTCTTGATTTTGGATTTACTTTCAATTTAATAAAAATGTATTTACCATAAATCCTGTTGTGGAAAGTAAATAAGTACATTTACTCAAGTATGTACTGTACTTGAGTACTTTTGACATATTTTTACTTTACTTGAGTATTTCCATTTATTGCTACTTCATATTTCTACTCCACTACATTTTAAAGGGGAACATTGTACTTTTTACTTACTACAGTGACTAGTGTTTTACATATAAAAACACATGATATGCTTATATGGTACAATGCAGTATGTACTTCTAATCTCCTTCTAGTTCTTAAATACTCTTAAATTTATGAAAAGAGGATAAAATAATAACTATAATACTGTGAAAATATCCATTCTGCATAACAAGTACTTTTACTTTTGATACTTTAAGTACATTTAGCTTATAATACTGCTGTACTTTATATTTGTCTGAAACGGGTCATTGTGCAGAATGAGTACATAAGTATATTTAGTTGCTAATAGTTTTGTACTTTAATTTAAGTAACATTTACACATTTTACTTGTGGTGGAGTGTTTTAATATAATATTATTTGTACTTTTACTCAAAATAAAGGATCTGAGTACTTATTTGAATACTCTTAATGACTAAGCTCATGATGATAAGGCAAAAAAGGTTTTACATGTATCCTACATCACAAACAAGTGCTGCCTATCAACAGTTAGCGTGTATAAATAAGTGTGTATTAGCTTATCTAACAGAGTTTTCAATTCATTTTACTCACTCAATGCCAGCAGTAACATAAGTTGTGTTCAGTTGCTCGCTTAGAAAACCACTTTGATTTTGTTAGACGTTGTGTAAATATTTCAGATACACGAAACAGCCATTCAATAGTTAAAGTAGCGTAATTACTTCCGTGAGAAAAGGCGGATAAAGAAAACTAACCTGTGGCTGGCCTGCCGATCTGCAGGGATGGTTATCAGAAGGAAGGACACATTCACAAACATATTTTCATTTGAAAAGTTCAAATGTTCGTTCGTCAGTTCTAAAGAAACGACCAGTACAAACGGTCGATAAGTTATGTAGTTTAATTGGTTCCATCAATGAACTGTTTGGCAAAGTAGGCAACTTTCCCACAGTCCCCAAACGCCTCACAAGTCTGACGCTTGCCAGTTGATTTTATGTCTACGTTATTAGCTAAAATGTGCTAAATTAAATGTTACTTTACCATATTGCTTCAAAGTCATATGTAAAGCCAGGTGGGGTCATGTGATAATTCAATACTTTTGTAAATGTACCTATAAATGAAATCGAACTGCCATGATTATTCTGCTGTGTGCTGCGTTGATGGGAAATTGTAGGTGAGAGGGTAAACTTGTGTATTCAGCTTTAAGGGCTACAATAACATATGTTTGGTCAATGTAGTGTGTCATTAGTTGTTTTCATTGATAATTCGTTAGTTTCAGCAATTCTAATGGGTCGCACCCGCAATGATCATTTTGTAAAATAGCTTTAATATTTAAAGTAGTGTATATTATTATGAATTGACGATAGTTTTCGTATGTATGTTGGAATATAATTATGTGCTACCATGTAACAAAATGTCATAATGTTGATATACTTTCTGTCAAAGTAGACTTTTTGTCAGTGAATTTGCCTGTTCTTGGTGCTGAATAAAAGATGGCCTTATGTCCTCTTATTAATAAGAGGCTATGATATTTATCAGTTTAACAACGTAATTACCTTACTTTCACAACGGGGTTGATGAAGCACAATGTGGTATTTTGTTGATCCACGTAAGGGATCTTTTCTGTGATTTTATTTTCGCCCAGGGTCCAAGGCTGGGAGCAGCACCCGGAACAAGTTCTGGTGTTTTCCGCTACGTGGCAACTCATCTAATTTGATAATTGACAGGAGCACCCTGTACAAGTGTCAGTGCAATACACTTCTTGGAATGTTACGTTGGCCCTTGTTTCAAAATCTGGGCTCGTCCGGGATTTGAACCCGGGACCTCTCGCACCCTAAGCGAGAATCATACCCCTAGACCAACGAACCATATGAATGTAACCAAGGCTACAAGTATTTAGAATAATGAATAACTAAAGCTGAAGTTTGAGCATTTACTTTGTACGACTTTTATTTTTAACCCGTTGTGAAACATAAAATATCATTCTGTGTTGTAGCCTGTGTAGCTGTCTACGTTTACGCTGTATTCTGCTACAAATATGTGTAATGTCTCAAATATGAAAGATCAGGGTCGGTATTTTTTTTTTAATTAAGTGACCACAAAGTAACATATGATAAGTTAGTAAACTGTTTTATTGTGTACAAGCCTTAATTATATAAATGAAACGTCAGATCTCGTTTCTTATAAGCAGGGTGTCGCTGTCCATGGTGCTAACGCCTAAAAGCTGCCAACGCAACGATCCTAATAGTGGTGTAAAGTAACTAAATACTTTACTTAACTACAATTTTGAGATACTACTTGAGTACTTTACTTGACTATTTTTAATTGTTTGCTACTTTGTACTTCTACCTCGATACAATAAAAAAAAAAAATAGTGCATTTTAACTCCAGTACATTTATATAGGCTAATACTTTAATTACTTTGCAGATTTGGATTAATGATATGAAATATAATCAACACTTAAATAATATTGTAGTTACACATGGAGTAACATCCACAATCTATCATACAGAATTACAATTGTAAAATGAGCTGCACCTTTACCAGCTGTGATTAACACATAAATGCATCAATAATTATAATAGTAACATATATATAATATTAGAAAATGGGCCATTCTGCATAATGAATACTTTCATTACATAAAGTATATTTAGATGCAAATACTTTTGTACTTTCACTTTAGTAACAATTGTAATGCAGGACTTTTACTTGAATATAAGATATCAGTAATTCTTCCACCTCTGACCTTAATATACTTATTTAGGCTACTTTTTAAGAATCTTCTAAGCATAGCAACAACACAATTATCCAGTATATGTGGCTTGAAAAAGTGGAATGCTGGCTAAAATGCTATGAAGGGCAAATCATTTAAAAAATATTTTAACTTTGCGAAATATGGAGTGCTTTTGCCCGTGATAATTAAGGGATCAGGCGGGGGTCATTCATGGTTTACCCAGCTTTTCATTTACCACCCACTTCACTGCATATACCAACATCTCAGTGCTCAATTTCAATCATTTCAAGTCACATTGTAGACCCAGAGGTGGAATAAGTACTCAGAATGTGTACTTAAGTCAAAGTAGAAATACCAGAGTGTAGGAATACTCTGTGATTACTTACTTAAAGGTACAAAAGTATTAGCATCAAAATATACTTAAAGTACCAAAAGTAAAAGTACCCATTAGGCCATTCCAGAATTATTTATATAACATGTTTTGATTATAATTATTGATGCAATACTGTTTTTATTGGTAAAGGTGCAGCTAGTTTTAATAACTTTGTATACTGCAGCGTAATTTCTGGATTTACTCCAGGTGTAAGCCTTTTTTAAAGGTTGGTTATATTTCATATCATTCATCCACATGTTCAAAGTAACTAAAGGTACCAAATAAATACACTCCAACAAAATTTAAACCTGAATTTATATAAATATATTCTGTCAACAGATTACACACACTTGTATTAGGTTAGTTGAAAGCAATAATATTAACTTTAAATAAAAAACAATAGGTTCAACTTAATACTATTGCTTTCAACTAACCTTATATAATAATAAGGAACCTGGTAGACAGAATACATTTAATTAAAGTCACTGTTTAATTGTTTCAGTGTAAAGTGGATTACAAGTAGGCCTACATCTGATTTGTAGTGTGGTAGAAGTAACGTAACAACCAATTGAAATACTCAAGTAAAGTACAAGTCTCTTAAAATGTTACTTAAGTAATTGTGTAAATGTACTTGGTTACTTTACACTACTGGTCAAACCCTATGGGCCACCTGAAGCCAGGATGCTGTCAATGATTAGTGCGGATGTGTTGGCACAGGGCAGGTAGAGAGAGAGAGAGAGAGAGAGAGAGAGAGAGAGAGGGAGAGAGAGAGAGAGAGAGAGAAGAGAGAGAGATTTGGAGCGAGAGAGAGAGAGATTTGGAGCGAGAGAGAGAGAGAGGAGGGAGGGAGAGAGAGAGAGAGGGAGGATGCTGCCAGCGGAAAATGGCTGCTGCAACCTCAAGCCTATCCTAATACACCGAAACGACATCAAGGTGGAGAGAGAGAGTGCGAGAGGAAGAGAGAGGGGAGGAAGAGAGAGGAAGATTAGGAAAATGAGAGCAGATAGAGAGAGGATGTGAGCGAGCCTGAGAGTGTTTCCTGAAAGGAGGATAAAAAGAGAGAGAGAGAGAGGAGAGACCCTGGGGTGGGCTGCTGCAAGCGGCGGGCAACACCGAGCCATGGAGGGCGAGTAAGTCCTTACATTTTCATTTTTAACATTGCACACACACACTCACACACACATATATATATACACAGCCATCCGCCAGAAATATAGATGATAGAGAGAAAACGCCACCGCCATCAATGTTACACCAAGCCAGCATCATGCACTCTTATCACAATCGGTGCTCTACAATTTAGCAGGCTAGAATAAAAACACCATTACGTAGTCTTGAATCAACAGCATACACCCCATTTCCGATATGCCAATATGTGATAAATGTGAAGCCACCTACATGTGGACCTGTGCTTTTAAAACGGCTGGCACACAACCTACAACATGACACTGGAATAATAATGTAAAGCATATTAAACAAATAGCTGTGCAACAATTCTGAATTAAATGCGTGGTTTCGCGGTTGGTAAAAACAGTCACGAAATGTGTAATATGTATGGGGGGGGGGGGAGGCGAAATATGGCGAGTTTGGGGCCAGCATCGCGTCATTCAAGACATGGCTACATTGAAACGAGGGAGGGATGGAGGCGTTGTGATTTTTATCAACGTGTCTTGGGGTTTCATTATGATTTTTTAAAGCCAAACTTTATGAATGAAATGTGATTTTTTTTCTCCCTCGCTCGCTCTCACTCTTCCTCACCCCTCCTCTCCTCCTTCCCTTTTTTCTAATCGGCCCCCTCCCCCCATTTCTCGTTTCCTCTCACCCACTCGTTCCTTTTGCCTTCCCTTTTTTCACATGCGATCGCATTGTATTTTAGGCCTTGTGCATCTTCCGGGTGAAATATCCGAGGCACAGTGAAGCCAGACTGGCTCTATCCCATTCATAAAAATAAATAAAACCTTATATCGGGGTGTGTTAATGAGTGCGTGCAGCAGGGGCGGAATGGAGGAAAGGAGCGTCTGTGAAACCCATATCAACACTTGTACTTTGGTGTGATTTGAGAATCACCAAAAGAAACAACGGCTGAGAACGCATTACATTCACATTTCGAGCTGCGGTGCTGAATTATTCAGCCCACTGGCGAGGGCTGAGCTTATTTTTGCAAGAATGCCGGGGCCTCTGATGGCGAATGGGTGCGTTCATTGATACATCTATCTGGGAAACACTCATTCTTCCTCCTCCCTCCTCCCATTTGGCCATGTCTCTCCTTCTCAACGTTGGCTTTCTTTCTCTTCCTTTATTCTCAGCGCATGTAGCCTAGTAAGCAGGCCCAGTTTTATTTCACAGTATTCTCCAGATATGTTGAAATTAAGGCAAAACCACACATAGTTCGTGATGTTTTACTTTGGTTTACCGTCACCACATGCTAATTAAATCCGATGTACCTCAATCACGTGATCATGGATTGACCCTGGCTATAACTGTGTGATTTGAGCTGTCATGTTGCAACACCAGCTGGCAATTCTGTCTTCATCGTGAAATATCAGTTCACCGGAGTTGGAAACAGTTGCCTTAGCATCATCCTAGTACCTAGATAGAGAGTTTTTTTATTCAATTGAATGAATGTGCTCATCTGTGCTTGCATGTTTGCGGGTTTTGGTGTGAGTCTGTGTATATCATTGATCATTGATATGTGTATATCATTCATGAATTAAGATGGCGTGCATTTACCTGCACATTGGTCACTGGCAACATTCTCTTTTTTTTATTTCTGTTATGTTCTTCCTGCACACATTTGTATTGTTTATATCTTATATATATTTATGTTGCATTGTTGAAGGATCCTGGGACTTAAGGTTTTCATTGCCATACATACGCTATAGCTACTGTACATATGACAATCTTGAATCTTGCGTTGTTTAATCAGCCTAGGCCTCTGCTCACTCTCTTGGTTTCCCTGACAGTGTGCGTGTTCGTGCAGTGGTGATGACACGTGATGACTCCAGTGGCGGTTGGGTGCCCCTTGGAGGTGGCGGCCTCAGTCATGTGGTCATATGTAAAGGGCGGAGTCAAGACGGCAGGGGGCGGAGAGAATACATCATACGTGGAGAGCGGCTGCGAGATCGAGCAGTGAGTGTGTGCGTGTGTGTAAAGACTGTAACCACCCGAAGACTGTACATCATGTTATGTAGGAACAGGAAACGATGCATCCTGGTGAAGGAACTAACTTCCTGGGTTTGCCTTTTGTGTCTTTAGCCGGTGTTGGAGTGTGCAGTGCAAAGGGGGTTAGTGTACAACAAGGTGAACCCCATCTTCCATCACTGGCGAGTAGAAGATCGAAAGTTTGGCCTTACGTTCCAGAGTCCTGCCGACGCCATCTCCTTCGAGAAAGGGCTCCAGACTGTCATAGACAAGCTGGACAGAGGTACATATGAGTCATATGTTAAAACTCTCATCAGCTGTGCTCGAAGAGGCTTTAGAAAGTATCTAACAGGACTAAATCCTCTCTATCTATGTTATCAAGGCTCTGACTCGCCCTCTTCCTCCACACCAGAAGAGGCCGACACCGAGGATGATGGACAAGCTGTGAGTATCTGAACAGTTGATCTACTCTCTAAGTTATTGTCGTTACCATTGGGCACCTTATGCCGTTATTGGTGTGTCTGACATGTAGCCTCTGCCAGTCTCATACAGGAAGTGAGTCGTCGTCCAACAGCAGAAAGGAGATGCTTCCCAAACCCCTCACCATAGTGACGAGCGAGTCGTCGTCTACCTGCTTCGTTCTGTCGGAAGAGTTTAGTTTTGGATCCAGCCATGCAGTCACCACTCAGACGCCTGCTCAGGTAACATCGTCTGCTCAAAGTCCATCACATGGTCTTTGTTGGGATAACACAATGCTTCAATGAACACAAGTTTATGTCATCTTACATGATTTTTCTGTATATGTTCTGGTCACACTTGGGGGCAAAATAGCTTAAAGAGTGCTCTTACTTAGATCCAAATTAGAGGTCATTTGAAAGGGACATATCACGAAAAACAAGCCATATAGATTTGGCTCCCTGTCTTATGTCACACCTAGGCAACCTGATCCTCTGTACTCCTGTTGGAGATGCCCTCAGGATGATTGCCTCCTGTAACACCCTGTTCCTGACTCCCTCTGTAACTCCACCCCCTCTCCACAGATCCACACCAGGCCGGGACAGCTCTCACAAATTACGACTGTGTTGAATCCGCCATCGCCTCCGCCCCCGCCTCCTGCTCCGCCTACTCCTCCTACGGGTCCCACGGCCTCATCTCCTCTGTCCCCCCTCTCACCCACCATCTCTCTGCTGGAGGAGGGAGACCTGCACAGTGTGGACCCTTGCAAAGACCTGTGGGGTTCTCGAGGTTACGAGGACTACCGGCGGGCGGGGGCCACTAGGACTATGGTCGGGGGGTTGACCGGGGGTGTGGTTGTCAGTGGAGGAGTGAGTGTCCAGGACAAGTCAGAGCTGTGCGTTGTTCGCTTTGAGAAGGATCTGGCAGGGGTGGGGACGGCGGGCTGCGACGTGACGGTGTCTCTGGACAGTAAAGCTGCCCAGAGGCTGTCCTCGTCGTCGCCCACCTGCATGTCCATGCCCAATGCCGTGTCAGGCGTGTCCTCACCCGCCGGGTCCCCCCAGGAGACCTGCAAAGCCTCCCCCTGCTGCATCCACACCTCACTTGGCACGCCCCGGTCGCGGACACGTAAGAGAGGAGGAGAAGGGGCCAGTGGTGGTGGTGACCCAGGGGTGATCTCCCCCGACGACGACAGCCCGTGTCCTCAGGGTTCATCTTCATGCTCATCACGTTGTGTGTACTGCCGCTCTGTTTTCAGCACTTCGGAGAACGGGCGGGGCCGCTGCAGAGACGCCCCGGACCCCGCCCTGCACTGCCTGCGCCAGTGGACCTGTGTGTGGTGCGCAGAGAGTCTGCTCTACCACTGCATGTCGGACTCTGAGGGGGAGTTCTGGGAGCCTTGCTCGTGTGAAGACTCGCTGGGGGGCCACCCACACCCCCTGTGCTGTGCACGCTGGTTGGCCCTCGTGGCCCTGTCCCTCTTTGTGCCCTGCATGTGCTGCTACCTGCCTTTGCACGCCTGCCTGCGGTGTGGGGAGAGGTGTGGCTGCTGTGGGGGAAAGCACAAGGCGGTCCGATGAGGCCAGGCTAGGGGGGGGGGGGGGTTCCCTGGACCAAGGAGGTTTGGGTGTTCGGAGGAGAGAGCATCTGTGGGGACGGAGGAGGTAGAGTACAGCAGGTGGAGTTAAGCAGGTGGTATAGCTCTCTCAGGAGACCCAGCCCTCTGACGTGACCCCCCAAAGCCCCGCGGCCTTCCACTGCATTCCGCTCTTTCTCTTTTTCAACCCGAGGCCTTCCTCACTGGCCCCTGCCTATTGGGGGCACACCACACTCAGACCAGGCTCTGTGGGAGTCATCTGGAGCCTTCATAGTGGATTTACTGAGGGTCGGCTGATCTTGAGTCAGCGTCGGAGACTTTATCACAGGAAGAGAGTGGCATAGGCTAAGATGATGTGTACACTGTTTCAAATGTCTGTTTTTTTTTATTTAGAAAGGAAAAACACAAAAAACGAAAGATGTTTATATATATGATTGTTATAATTTGAATTGGTATATTTTGTTAAATGTAAAACATATTGACAGAATCCCCCGATGGCACACACTATCACGTATTCACAGACATGAGATCTTCTTGGGGAAGTTATTTGTTTCATGTTGGCCTGTTTATCAGTCAGATGAGCAGATGTCACCCTTTACCTCTAATTTGACCTCAGATGTTACTCAGCCCTTGTTAAGGAATGAAAAGAGAATGGGAGGGGGGCGAGCAAAAGTGCAGTCTTCAAGAAAGTGTGAACATCTGAGACCACTGGTGTTGGTTAACGTAGGAGACCACAGTGGAGGAAAGGTTATTAAATGCAAAGGGACAATTAATGTTAAGGGAAGTTGCAATGACAACCACAAAGACTTCAAAGTCATAATGTGACCCATAATGGTCCTTTGTAACCAAACACAAGGTTATTTTTGTTTTATAAAAAAAGTAGAAAAAAAAGAAAATCAAGAATGTGTGTCGAACATTAAGAACACGCTCACTTTACACATATTTTTTCATTTTTCCGTGTATTTTCCAATATTAATCATAGAGGACATCACATCCCAACCACTGTACTTGTTGAATCAGTCAAGGTGCTTACAACTGAGGCCTCTCCGCGAGTCTATTCTACCTAATTTAGACGTAACATCCCCAAAGAGAAAGGAAAACAGGACCCCACGCTAACCAATCCGCAGACGTGTCTAGGCCTTCGAATGAGACGCCACCAAAAACATTAAGTGCAATGAACAATGTATTGAAAGAGTATTTTTGTACCCGTCGCTCACGTTAGGAGAATCAAAAAAGTGTTGTAACTGAAAACTGTAGTGTGTTATTGTGTTCCATATGGAGCAGAAATGATAAAACTGCAGCACGTAGCTCACAGGTGTGTTGCAGACTGTCGACCCTGTGATGAGAGAAGAGGCACATTATGTTGAAAAAAGAAGAATGGCGGTCGGTCTTCGTTTGGGCACAGTGGGAGATGTGTTTGCTGAATGTTGCTTTAATTATGAAGATAGAAAAAGCTGCTATTATAATTCCTGTCCTAATCCTATTTACATTTCCCGCCGTCTCTTAACAATCGATGAGGTGTCGCGGCAGAGTACAACAATCCTTATCAAAGTTCTTATCCCACTCAAGGTGCTGAGGAAGTGACATAGTGTACGTTTTTGAGTTTATAGTTAGGTTTAAAGATAAATTAAACTCAAGACATTTAAAATAGAAACGCTATCGGGGATGAATCTTGCATTTCTGTGTCTATTTTGCTGATTGGCTGTATATTTTTATACTTACAGTGTTTTGCTGGCCATGTTAGTTTAAAAGCTACGGGCACATTTTGTCAAGCAGAAATCTTAATATGTCAACAAATCAATGAACTCACTAGTGTTGAACTATCATGCAAGGAAATATATATTATAAGAGACACTTGTTACCCTACGGAAGTGAGCCTCTTGCAACCAAATTGCAAAGATAACAGTATTTTGTAGAACTGAAAAACGGAGGCACTATTATACCTTGAACTGTTCAAATTGGTCTCCTCACCAAAATCAAGAACTAACTTATTTTCTGAGTTTTGGAAAGTTTTCTTGAAGGCTAGATGTTGATTCGAAGGTTGTGTAAAAATAGGGAACACTGACATATAGATTACAACAAATGATCTCAAAATAAATCACAAAATGCACTGAGCATCCAGAATGATGACAGTGTGAGGGGATCATGAATGATGGCAGAATGAACCTTTCAGAAGCTTCACCAGATGATTTCCATTTTTAGGTTTAGCCAAGAACTTTGATCCAAAGTGACTTAAAGTGAGTGAACAGGCAGTAAAGAGGGTTCAGAGACAGGACACACACCTGCTGATGACCCCTGACCTCTCGGTTATGGGACGGTCATTGTTCCAAAAATAAAGGACATGCAACCCTAACAAACACAGTCCGTCACTAGACTGCCATTCCATGATCCTAACCCCCTTTGTCCCCCTCCCTCACACACAATCCTCACAGATCTGCGACGCATAGACCCGCACACACATGTTCACTCGATGGTGCAGACACACAGACTTAGTGAAGCCATTGCACACAGTTTGCTACTTCTGGTTCAGAAATGGTGTTAGAGTACTGGCAGTCATGCGGTCACAATTTTCAGGCCCCATTCTTACATCTTAATAAATGTGCCTTTTGATTTGAGTAATCAATAACTTATGATTTCTAAGTAACTGTGTTAAGTACTATTTTACTTTTTTGGGTCATTGATTTCTGCCAATGTGCATATTTTCAAATGTACGTATTTATTAGTTTCAAAGTAATTATTGAGATATTACCTGTTTATTTATTTATTGAGATATTTATTCTGATTCTTTATTTTTTTGAGACAGGTTTTTATCTTCCGTGCTGTCTTACTTCTGACTTTGTGCCAATGTGCTGCTTTGAGGTGTTACATATCGTGGGTTTGTATCATTATTAAACCCTCAGTCTATATTTTAAAATCACTGTCTACTTCTCTCTATCTCATCATGTGTCCTTAACTCTTGGACTTCTCAGAAACATCAGAGGGAAGTTATGTTAACACAAATATCCTTAAAGGGGCCTTATTATTGTTTGGGGGTTTTACATTTCCTGTAGTGTTATATAGGTTTGTGTGCATAATGGTCTCAAAGGCCTGTGTTCCCTCCATAGGGGTTTTCTCTCCCACACACTCCCCCCCCCTGCCTGAAACTCCTCCATTGGACTCCTTTGTTTAACTTAGTGACATCATTACGTAACAGTTGTATTCGCTAGCGCTCCAACACATTTGACGTAATAGGCTAAGGGATGGGACATCTTTTAGCGGTTGACCAATCAAAACAGAGCTAACCTATCAGAGCAGACTGGGCTCTGGTTTCAGACAGAGGGTGGAAAGAGGTGCTGCAGCACAGGCAGTATGAGAAAAATAAATACCTTTTTGAACATTAATGCATGGAAATATGTCACAGAAGAGGAACAAAATACAAATCTGTACATTTGCATAATAGGGCCCTTGAATGTTATCTAAGGAATTTGCAGAAGCATCAACCCTATAACTGATATTTGTTATTTTACATTTCAGTCATTTTGTACAATCTAGATATCTGGTATTGCAACAGAACTAGGCAGAGGGCTACAGAAAACACACACAGAGGCTGTTAAAGGGAAGGAACAGCAGTTTAATGAAATTCCTCGAGTAAAAATGGGAAGAAAAATAGTGACACAAACATAACAACTTTATTCTATAAACTCAAAGATGTCCTTGACAGAATAGACCCGTTGTGATTAGTTGTTGTCCCTAGGAAGCTGCTACTTGGTAGAATACATGTGCTGCCTTTTATGTTTGAGGATCTCAGTGGAGGTGAGGGTCAGATCTTCATCGCAGACGTCACAGTGATAAACTCTGGTGAGACTGGACATGGAGGAGGAAGAGGAGGAGACTGCCTTTGCCCCTTCTGGCTCTGAAAACAAAACCCTCAGTTAGGCTCAAATGTTTCATATCCTAACAAGACAAGTAATGCATGTATTGAAGTCATCTACAGATACACAAACATAAATATGAACACAGGCAGTCGCTGACCTTCCTCTGACTGCTGCTGTTCCCCTGCTGGCCTGCAGGAGGCCTCGTGCTGCATGCGCTCCAGCGGAGTGAGAGGCATGTAGAGGTCACAGTTTGGACAGCTCCAGAAGGTGCGTAAACACTCGCTGTACAGGTCCTTCGAGTCCTGAAAATCACATCACAGAAACACATGGGTCAATGACACGTAAATATGAGTTCTGTAAAGGAGTGGTGAACAGTGTATTTCATGTAAGAGGAGTTTAACAAGGAAGGCTGAAAGATTTAGTTACAACCTTGAAAATGTCCCTATAAAGAATGTCATAGTGTAGTTAGTTTTCTACATTTTATTATAAAAAGTAATAAAATATTAGAGTAGTGTGCAATTAAAAGTCAAGGTAAAAGTATAAAATGTGGTGGAGTGGGGGCTTTCTATTTGAGGTCCTTGAGAGGTTCAGCCTCGGATCCAAATGTGTGTCCTGGATAGCATTGTTATACTCTTCACCCAAGGCTTCAGTGAGTACTAACAGGATGACTTATCAATATTTGACACGAGGTAGAGGTACTCGCTAGGGTTGCCCTCTAAGCCTGTTACTATTCGCCATGGCGATCGAACCCTTATCAATCGCGCTTAAATCGGCCAACTTTACACAAGGAATGAGCAGATATGGTCCAGAACACATACTCTCGTTATACGCTGAGGATTTACTATTGTTCATTTCTAACCCTATATCTACCATTCTTCAGATAATAGATCCGTTAACTCGATTCGGAACCTTTTCAGGGTACAAGCTAAACTTTTCCAAGAGCGAGTGTTTCCCTGTAAATGACCCTTCAGATCCCCAATAGACTCATCACCTTCAAGATGTCTAGGAGTCATTTTAAGTACTTGGGCGTGAATATAAGTGGAAAACTCTCAGACCTTTACAAAGACAACATCCCACCACTAATTGAAAAGCTCAAATTGATTTGGAAAGGTGGAATAATTTACATTTAACTATCACTGGGAGGGTAAACTGTATCAAAATGATCGTGCTCCCTCGCTTCCTGTACCTCTTTCAATGTCTGCCAGTCTTCATACCCAAATCACTTTTTTGTAAAATAGACACACTAATCTCCTCTTTCTTATGGCAAGGGAATACTCCTAGAATTAGGAGAGAGCTTTTACAAAGGCACAGACCTACAGGAGGATTGGCGCTTCCAAACATAAGACACTACTATTGGGCAGCCAATAGCCACAAAGTAATGTTATGGACTAAGTGTGAGCTTGAAGCCAAATCCTGTCCTAATACCTCACTCTTGGCTTTGCTTAAATCTACATTACCCAGCCGGCTGACTCAATATTCAAATAACCCGATTGTTGTTTCCACCCTAAGAATTTGGTCCCAATGTAGAAAGGCTCATGGACTTCATGGATCCTCTATTCATAGTCCCATTTGCAACAACCATCTCTTTCTCCCCCCGTACACTGATGAGGCATTCCCTATGTGGCAGAGATTAGGTCTTATCAGAGTAAGGGACCTTTACATCAACAATATTTTCGGTAGCTTTAGCCAACTCTCTGACACATGTGGTCTCCCAGGCTCTCATCTATTTCGCGACTTCCAGGTCCGTAACTGGGTTAAACTAAATAACCCTTCCTTCCCCAATATCCCTCCGGATTCAATAATTGACTAAATTCTGGACACTCTAACAACCGAAAAAGGTCTGATTTCAAGAATTTACAATTCCATCTCCCGTCCCACAGAAACATCTCTTGGTCAAATCAAACAAGATTGGGAAGAGGAACTAGTCCAAGCTATAGATGATGAGGTCTGGGATGGCGCTTTAGCGAGAGTGAACAATAGTACGCCCTGTTCCAGGCAGGAAGGGAAGAATAATGACTGTATAAATGTAAACTCAATGTGCCTGACTCAATACAAACTAAATTAAATATATATAAAAGTATAATATGTGATCAAAATGTAAAAATTCTCATAGAATAGTATTCCATCCAAAAAAACTCCTAGTGTGGTTTATCACAAAATATTTAAGGAAAATAATTTCAGAAAAGTAAAGCATACCATAGATAAAATAATACAGTTGTTAAAATGCCATAAGAAGGCATAGTATAGTATCCCATTAAAATTCATACTACATTAAATGTTCATCAAAAACTCAAATACGAATTATAGTACAACGTGAAAAAACAAACAAATTCATAATAAATAACTTTTTTAAAAATCTAATAAAAGGTTAAATGAAATGTCATTAAAAAACATTTGGTTCGTGGTAAAGTTCACCTAAAGTGACCTTTTCAAATGTCTGATAAATGAACATACATATATTTAACAAACATGGGATGATTTTGCCAGCAGTTATTTTCATCCATTTGTGACGTTAACAGAATGCTGGTCATAGACTGCCACTCTTTCAGACTCACAGTGAGGCAGTTGTAGGTGAAGAAGCTGGTGACGCGCAGGCCTCCTTTGATCGGGTCCGGCTTGGCCTCCACGCCTGGGAACAGAGGGTTCCCCTCTGGGGCCGGCTCCTGAGGCCGGGGGCCCACGTACAGGTTCTGAGTCTGGAAGGCTGTGAGGCGCCGCAGGCTGTACGTGATCTGGGGGGGGGGGGGGGACCATCACAGGAATAGTCAATTGTTACTTGGAAAGTGTTTTAGCAATAAGCCTTTGAGATGAACCATCTTGTTATTGAAGTGGTCCTCAACACAATATGACCATAATTAGATATATAACACTAATAATTATATATTACACATGTGACAAAATAAATAATCAGATCATAGCAGAGAATGAACATTGAGTATTCATTCATAATTTATAGAGAAGTATTTCAATGATAGCATCATTTTGATTCAACTTTATCATTAGGTCACGTATTATGCAAAATCCACTTTTTCATGTCTTTTAGACATAAACATGTGTTCCCTCTGTGTAAAGAGATTCAGGAAAAAAGATTTGCTCACTTTCTGTCCTGATCCGTTTATATAAAATCCTGTCTGAAAATGAGCTGATCAGATTTTGGCCACTTTGTGATGTCACAATGATTTTTTGGCCTGTGTAACCATTAGCCAATCACCAACCAAGGTAACACCTTATCACCTCAATCTCCTCCTAGAGCACCATTGTGTATTTTTAAACCAATCATCTCTCAGAGGGGCGTGGCCAGCAGCAGCTCATTAGCCTTCAAAGCTACAGACAGAAGCCTCATCCCAATACCCCTCCTCGACTCCTCTCTTCCCCTCCTCCGGGACTTGACCCGGAAATCAATCAAGACACGCCATTTTGAAGGACGTCCCAATAGCTGAAATGCACACGGAGGAGTCGAGGAGGGGTGAGGGAGGAGGGGTGCGGGAGGAGGGGTGCGGGAGGAGACAAAAGGGAGGATACACGCGAGCAGACTACGCGGAAGTGGTTTCACTACTCAAGCCCCGCCCCCACCTTCACAGCTGGTCGATTTCAACAGAGGAAAACCGACAACTGGAAGATGAGTGGAAAAGCATCACATACATGTATAAGTGCTCACAGCTCCGTGGGAATTATTATGTGCAATTCATTTCTAAAAGGCTTTCACATTACTATAATTATAGTTTTATTTAAATGTAGGCTACATTTTACACCAAAACGGAACACAAAAGCAGGACCAACCATCATACATTGAATTCCTTGACTAACAAGAGAAAGATTCATTCATTTAAATAAA